TAATTATTTACTCCATCTACCTCCAGCTGACCTCTTGCAGGTGCACCGCATGAAGCAGCACCGGGGAGCCCACGGTTTTAAATCAGAAGCGCTCTCTTAAAAATCAGTGTTACTTACGGCCTGGCTTATGGCGTGGGGACAACAAAAGCTTTCCCCAGGCTTGGTTTTTGGTGGAAGTGCATCATCTGCTACTGAGGATGTGAGGGCTGGGAACGGGGAGCATCTTCTGGAGGATGAGGGACCCCTTGCCAGAGCTGGGACACAAGCTCCTCCTTTACTCGCTTTGCTTCCTGCAATGCCCCAGTAGGATGAATTTCACTGTAAAGTCCTCAATTTCCTCCAAACTGCACTTTAACGCTCACCTTGAGGGCACCATGGGACTATGAAGGAAAGCATCATTCACCTTCTTCCTCTCCCCCTCTCTTCTTTCCCTTTTACCATCCCCAAAGATGGGTTTTGCTCCTTGGCACATGGGCAGCCACACAGGAAAATGATAAACTGGTAGGGCCCCAGCTTTTCTGTAACCCTGCTACAATCAGACATGCTTTGTCAATTTGTTTGCACTTGTGCTGGTAATTAGTGGAGTTTTACATCTTATGTTTCCTGTTGCCAGCTGTTTGCCTTTAGCCTTCCCCATCTCCAATAGCTAAAATAATTATAACCAACCTGGATCTCTTCCTTGCTTTTTCCTCCATTGCACATGTATCCAGCCTTTCTTCATCAAAGCAAAATAGTCTCCATTTTTTGCAGAAGGCCCCGCGATGTTCTAGTCTGGGGTTTTTTTTCCACGTACAACTGCCTGTGGGATGAATGCAGATGGACCCAGATACCTCATCTCCCAGCAGCACCAGTGCACACACAGCTGGCCACCGCCTGGGAGCCAGGGCCAGCCGCCACGCATCTCCAGTCTCTCCGAGCCTTCCAGGAGAGCAGATCAGATGGCCTTGGCCACCCAGATGTCAAAATAGCCCAAGACACATGCATGCTCTATTTTTTTTTCCTCTTTTGCGAGCTAACAAGCAGAAGCGTGCAACCAACCCACCGGCGATGTGCTGAAATGGAAAGGCTTTAGAGGAGCACATGGGTTTCTCTCCGGAGGTTTCTCCTTGGGATTTTCATCTGCATTGACATGCCAGGCTGGGAAAGCACCTGAGGAGATGGGACAGCCTATCCGAGTGAGTAACCCATCAGCTCAGAGGGATTCGCCTGATATTTCTGACCTGCTGCTGTCTATCATGTCAAAAAACCCACTGCTGGAGAAGAGCCTCAGATCATATCAGCACAAGGGACCGTGACAGCCGAGCAGGGGAAACAAAGCCAGTCCACGCTTAACCGAAGCCGTCACGGCCCCTTGAGTCAATATTACTCACACTCGAGAGACCCTCTGCAACGCAGACCCCCACAGGGGCTCAGGGCAGATTTTAGGGACACCCCTATGCTCAAAGCGGGGTTGGGGCTGCTTCCCCCTCCACCCCAACCCCACATACAGGGCCAGCACTGGTTTGAAAGTAGGTGAGCTGTGCTGGAGCAGAGGGGGTTTCATGGTTATCCCAAAGGAATATGGGGCATCCCATAGCGTGGCTTGCTCTCGCCGCACTGGAGGTGTAACGGAGCAGAGGGCATTTAGGTAACGGTTAAAAGACTGAAATTTGTCAACTGGGACTTACAGAGCAGCTCCCCAACCCCTCGGTACAGCTTGCTGCTGTACGGAGTGGCTCACAGTAAGCAAATTGTAAAATGCAGCAGGACTGGCCCAAAGGAAATTTCCTACACACGCAACGGAAAAGTCAGAGACCCTGATGTGGGCGGCTCCGGTGCTTCTGGGCATCCTCTCTCCAGCAGAATAAATCTGTCAATGCTTAGCGATGGCACGGCAGTCACTTCTGAACCTGTCATGGGGACTGAATTCAATATATCAACTGCAGAGAAGATTTGGGCCAGCTTAATTTTAAGGGGAACGAGCAAGCCGAGTATTTCAATAGGCAAATGTCAGATGAGATCAGTCACCAGTTGGTCAAAGCTATCCACAGATTTGGGCCCTTGGAAAGATGGGTTAGTGCAAAAGGTGCCCAGTGAAAGCAACTTGGGAGACTGAGGGTAAAGGAATCAAGATGGAAAGAAAAGGTTATCACTGGAGGTGGTCCCAAAGCGAGGGATGGGGCAAGGTGAGGAGACAGGGGACCGAGGCAGGGGTTGGAGGACAGAGATGCTTGAGTCACGGATTGCAGCTCCATGCTCCGTTCCCCCCTCCTAAATCAGGCACCCTGGTCCTGGTCCTTGCTGGAAGGGGCATTGCTTTCTGCAGGGCTGGTGGATATCCCTCAGGGAAGGAAATGAACTGCTTGAGATGGTGGCTTAGCCCACAGAGACACAGATGTAGTGCTCCTCTCCTGCCTTGTAATCACCCATGCGAGTCCAAAACAAGCCATAAATCAATCTCTGCACCTTACCTCCATTAGGGACTCCGACAGCAACATCTTCCCGCTGCCGCCACTGG